ACGAAATCAGTTTTAACCTTCATTTACACTGATGGAATCCCCACTAGCGGTGAAATATCAGTGGATTCTGGTGAATGGAGACCTGTGAAAATAAACCTTACTGAAAGGGTAGTTTACTCCGAACCTATGATTTTCCAAGCCATTGGACAGCACAAAGTCTCCATTGAATTGTGTAGTGAACGAGGCTCCATGCAAAGGATATTTGATTTCTGGGTGGAAAAAGTACCTATTCATTACTCTATTGAATCAAATGAAAAGTAATAGACAAAGAACAAATGGGAAAGATTGTGGACTAGGATCATTTCATCACAAATTATTTTATATATTTCAGAAAAATACCTGTAAATACTCCAATAACTCTGACATCTCGAATTCAAGGTGTTGGCAGTGGAGGTGTGATTGAAGTATTTGATGAATATGGCTATTTCGATACTCGAAATGTTGGTCGTAATGTTTTAATTTCACCCCAATTCACTCACCAACATCCCGGTTTCTCCAATCCCGGTAAATATGTGCTCCACGGAAGTTTAACTATTGGTTCTGTCAACTTGTCAAATATTGAAATTATCTATGTCATGCCACCATTTGGTGCCTACCTCCTGCAAGTGAATCAAACTCGTGTTGCTGAAAATGAAGTGCTAATTGCGGAAATAGTTCTTATCAATGGGCAAGAAAGTCCATGTCTAGACGTATCAATTGACTGGGACGATGGAACTGAACCAACTACCTTGGCTTACTATCAATTGTATGCACCAATAAAACATACCTACACTAAGGGAGGACAATACTCCATACAAACTGTGGTAGAACAAAATTCAGTGAAAGAAACCCTCCATGATGTCCTTGTTGAAATTGGTCCTGGACTTTCTAATGTGTTTTGCAGTGTCAGTCCAAGTAGTTATATTACTGTCGGAGATTATTTCGAATTGGTAGGTGAATTTTACAGCAGCAGAAGTGTGGAGGTTACTATTGATGAACCGGGAGGTATGGCCCCAACGAAAATTACTGCTTGTAAGTAGATATATCTTCTCTTTTTCTTTTTTGTCCCTGTGATATTGGAATTCGTAGTGGTAATATCTTTTCGATATGAAAGATTCAGTGAACAAATAGATCAGCACCATTAATTAGAATGAGTAAAGGAGGCAAATTTTTTTCGAAATGCTTTTGATAAAATAAACATGATGTCTTTTGCATTGCATCAGCTACATCTCCCTGGTCATATGCTCCAAGTCCGCAACCTCAAGGTACATGGACATACAGCATCTTTATGACCAACGGTTTTTCCACGCATAATCACGATCTGACAGTTGAGATCCAAAATCAAGTCACTGATTTTTCAGCCTACCTTGAAGAGGAGAATGTCGGTCCACCAGGTTGGTTTCTAGTGCAATTAATGCATTTTGCTTAAGTAAAACTAGTTGCTCTGACTAACTATGCATGTTAATAATAAAACCCAGCTTCTTCGTCATGGTAACAAATTTTGAATTAACCTAACTCATAATTGTGTTTGAATATCATATAAAAATGTATTTCAACTGTGTTTAAACTATCATAATAGTGACAGGATAACACGCAGTCTCTCATTATATTAAGTCAGCGAATGGGAGAACAGTCGCAGATCGATAAGATCGCATGGGTCACCCTAGTAACATTATAGAAACTTAGAGTAGAACTATCAAAATAAACAATCAAGAAAAATGAAAATTAGTCAGCAACCACGGTCTTTTGACATGGTTGGACCTTATCTATCTTAATCAACTTAATTTGAACAATATGTTCAGATTAATGATGGGTAAGAGGGTGGGTGCTGATTTGATAAGCATCAAATGTCAAATTCCTGCAAATATATAACTAGCATTAAGGACTTATTTAGGTCCAATCGTCAGAAGTGCTTTAACCATGGACACTTAACACAAACTGCAAGCGATGTCAAGTGAAGATCCAATATTTTCCCAAAGAAAATATTTCATGCCTTAGCTTGATTACTTATTTTTCTTGTCTTTTTTTCAATTTGGCCTTTAAAAGTTTCAGTAGTTGTATTTCTATTGGTATAGGTGATCTGATTTTGCACGTTATCGATCGAGGAGTGGCTGGTGCGAGGTCGAGTACATATGAAGTCAATGTTAACTGGGCTAACGAGAATATCACAACGGCCTCAATGAATAGCACAGTCAATGATCTTCAACTCAATCATCGAATGTCGAAAGAGGGCAACCTCGCCCTTAATATCAGTGTGAGGAATAGAGCTTCATCTCAGCATATAACATTGCCAGTAAGTGGAAACGATGCCCCGATGACAACTATGCGAAATTAGTTATTTCAACTTTTACTTTTATATATTTTAATCAAAAAATTATATATCAAATGACAGATTTTGTGATAGTAATCATTAGCCTATGAGTTGACTTCTGGGGTCACAGTGGGGTAAGAGGGGGGGGGGGGGGGGGGGAGGG